GAGAGCGGTTTGGAGGTGGCAGTTTTGCAGCCTCTGAAGCTGCGTGCATGAAAGGGGCTGCTGCTGGGCCACCTTGCGCAGCCCCTCGGGCTCTCCCTTGAGCCCCATCCAGCCCTTCCCACCTTCCCCTGCCTGTGCCCAGGGCTCCCCATGTAATTCTTCTCCCCTATTTCCACATGCCTGCCAACATGCGTCCCTTACCGGGGGCCTGTTTGTACACCCATGACATCCTCTGGCGCCTCTCCTGCCTCCTCCTTGTTCTTTAAAGCCCAAATTTAATTTGCTTTTCTCTCTGGGCAGTGGATCAGGCAATAGAGATGGAGTAAAACAAGCCAGGGGGGGTTTCTTTAGCATGTGAATTTTAGACCAGTTCCCTGATCCAGACGCCTCATCACCATGCAAGTGGTTCCACCCCTGCAAAGTGGCCTGGGGCAGGAGCAGGGAGCTGGGGACAGTGAGACTCCTCACGTGCCTAGGACACAGCCTGAAGTCCTGGAAGAGGTCAGCCCTGGGGTCCCACAGCTGTCGCCTCCCCCTGCGCTCAGTGACTGTGTCCATCACAGAGTGGAGGGCGCGGAGCAGGAGGGGGGCTGCCATGCCCCAAGCACCTGAGGAGCGCCCTGGGAGCAATGCTGGAGCCAGGGCACATGAGACCTGGCCCCTCAGCGAAGGGCCCTGTCACGGTGGGGGTGTCAGAGGCAAAGGTCCTGCCGGAGATACAGCAATGACACCCCCGCTGTGTGTCCCCTTCCTGCTAATGCCACATGGGTCCGCTGACTTGGACCAGCCTTTGGCTTGCGGCAAATGCCCAAGGGGTTGGACATGTGCTCAGGGGCCTGATAGCTGGAGCAGGGCAAGATACTCTTGAAGTCCAAAAGTATCCCGCATGATCTGTATTTAAATTACATGGCCTCGGCTGGAAGCAATCAGAGGTCTGGGACAAGGACTCATCTGCCTGCTCCCCTCTGTGATAACCACACACAGCTTCAGGTCTACCCCTGAAGGATTCCCGGGTCCCGCTGAAATCAGCAGCAAGGTGGCTGCTACTGAAGTACTTAGTGCTGCAAACAGAGAGCAGTCAGGCTCCTGAGATGCTCAGTGCGTCACGCGTTTGCTAGTTTGTGCAACAGAAAGAAGTGCAGGACCTTGGGCCTGCGGCTTTTTAATGGGGAAATGAAACAGTGAACCTCATCATGTGCCAGCGGGGACGTGCATGGGCAAGCGAGGAAGGAACGGCTCCACTCGAGGTACCTTTGCAGGACTCAGGCCTCCCCACCACCGGCAAGGTTCACTGCGGGATCAAGGTCTTCAGCAACGCCTGGAGCAGCCCCAGCACTGCTGAGCCGAACTGCTCATTGCGCTGCCCGCCAGAAGGAGGTATCCAGGCCCGCACCCACGCACGTCCAGGGAACTCGATCATTTATTGTCACAAACCCGGGCCCTTCTCTGCCCACATAAGCACACCCTGAAGAGGATAATAGGGAATCGACCCCAACCAAACACCCGCCCACCCCATGTTGAAGAAGCAATTCCCAACATGTGTTTTCATGAGGAATGCAACTGTTTTAAGTTGAATACCATTGCTTTTGTAAGGAAAGGACATAAAAAAGTAGTCAAATCTTTAGGACTCCACATGCGATTATTTTATTTGCATACACTTCCAAGAGCGCAATTTCTTGGAAGTATGTTTGGCTGCTGTAACGTCCGCTTGAATCAACAGAGATAACAAGCTGTAGCGCCCTGCACAACCGTGTTTTATTTCAAAGGCTGCTCCAAACACCTCCAGTCCTGCAGCCCGTCTCCAGGAAGTCCCTACGGAGAGTTGCAGAAGCGCGGCTATGGACTTCGAGCAGGCAGCGTAGCACAATGGAAGGATGCAGCCAGAAGGCCTGGCGAGGAGGGGAAGCTGTCCCGGGGCGACCCCTGCACCTCCGCGTGGCCGTCGTGTTTGCGCGGCGCAGCACGACGCTTTGCCGCACGTGCCCGTGGCGGTCCGAAGGGCTGTCCCCTCTCCCAGCCGACGTGCGAGGACAACACGGGGCTCTTCTCCCACCCGTCCGCTGAGGAGCGGCCCCGCGAGGCCCTCCCCGTCCCCCTCCCCATC